TCTCAGATGCAGCCAAAGCATCAACTGATGCTTCTCGTTTTTTTGGAAATGTGGAGAAGGTATACAATTTGTTCGCTGGGTCCACTCAAAGGTGGGCCATCTTACGGCAGTTTGTTGACCTCACCCTCAAGTCCTGGAGTGAGACGCGCTGGGAAAGCCGCATCAAAAGCATTGAAGCTTTGCGCTACCAGGCAGAGAAGGTGAGGGAAGCCCTGTTAGAAGTAAGGAATAAAGCCACTGACCCTGTAGTGGCTGTTGAAGCCAACTCCCTTGCTGAAGAAATAGGGTCATTTCGGTTTCAGATTTGTTGTGCTGTCTGGTTTGACATTTTGACGAAAATTAACATCACCAGCAAGCTCCTACAGTCAACCAACATGCAGCTTGATGTAGCTGTAAACCTTGTACACAAGAACAAAAGTGAACTGATCATTTACCGGCAAAAAGGCTTCTCTGATGCACAGACATCTGCAAAAGAGATTTGTGAGCGGATGAATACAGAAGCAGTTCTAAAAGAGAAGCGATTGCGCTCTACAAAAAGGCACTTTGCCTATGAGGCTGCAGATGAGCCGTTGGCAGATGCAATGAAGAGGCTAGAAGTGTCCTTTTTTAATGCTGTTGTCKACTGTAGCATTCAGTCATTGGAGGATAGATTTCATTCTCTAAGCGAGGTCAAAGAAAACTTTGGAGTGCTGCTCAATTTTAAGGAGCTCAATCAAAAGGTCCAGAGGGAACAATGTGAGCTTCTTGGGGAAAAACTCTCATGTGGAGAGGAGGCTGATGTTGATGGTAGCGCACTGGCTGTAGAGATYGAGAGTCTTCCTGATTTTCCCCAAACCATGACCGCCCTTGAGCTGCTCACATACCTCTCACAAAACGAGATGTGTGAGGTTTACCCAAATCTTTGGGTAGCTCTCAGGATAGCCTGCMMTCTGCCTGTGACAGTTGCCTCACCAGAGAGGAGCTTTTCCAAGCTAAAATTAATTAAAACATACCTGAGATCATCGATGGCTCAGGAAAGATTAAGTGGACTTGCTGTTATTAGTATTAATAGCAAAGTTGGCCAAGCAATATCATATAATGATGTCATCAATGACTTTGCCTCCCGAAAAGCTAGGAAGGAAAGATTTTGAGGACAGTTGCATTGTATTGAGACAGTTGGGAATATTTTCACAATAATTGACTGTTGAACCCTTGCTGTCATGTTACTGACTTGTCAGTTTTGTTATATCGTTTATTTGAATGTTTTGAAACAGTTTGATTTTTAGAAGTTCCAAATAGTTAGTTTAAAAGGTTAATTGAATACTGAGTCACTTTCATTATTTAATCTATGTATCTATGTAACGTTCTATTTTTTATTATATTCATGCTTGTCTATTTTGGTTTTATTTTGTAATTGGAAATTGCTAACTTAATGCGCATTTGCACAGTTGCAAATTATTTATTTAATATGTTTGTGATCGTTTGTTTGGAATACAGAGGCACTATCATTATTTATTTTTTATTTTTTAATGTTATTTTTGATAATATTAATGTGCGTGTATTTTGATTTCAGTTTAAGATTGCACATTTACAAATCTGTTGAAAGATCTGTTTATTAAACTGATACTTTAAAAAAATTACAAAATGCTGTTGTATTTTATCATTTTACAATTTAACTTCAGTAAACCACACTTGATGCTTCACTTTGAATATGAAAGTTTAAAATAAATCTGTGATCTAAGTGCCCTCTAAGGTTAAAAGGTGACTGTTTTGGTGTAAATAACGACTATAATAATACAGGGGTCTATCAAGGGACAAAAGTCTAGAATATTTTTGGCATGAGAGCAACTGAATGAGCCTTCCAGGCCCAAGAGGTSAAGGGGCACTGAAGCCCAAGCCCAAGTCACCATCTCAATAAGTCAAAAAGCAAAATGCTATGAATATGCTTAAATTTAGGTATTTCCCTTCTACAGCTGGCCATATAAAAAATACAGGAAATCACATCTACGTAATTCAGTATTAATACAATTGATAATTTCAATTAATTCATTGTCAAATCATTGTAGTGTGACATTTTTGTCAATAATCGTCGAGCGCAAATGACTCCGCTAGGTGGGAGGGGGGGGCCCAATATCAAATTCTGCTTAGGGCCCCCGAAAGGCTTGGGCCGGCCCTGATTACAATAATTAATTTCTATTATCCATGCAAACAATTAGAGAAAACAAAGTGAAGCACAAGTGGAACACTGGAAAGAGAATGTAATTATGGTGTGGAGACTTCAATAGACATAGTACACTGTGCGGCATTCAGGATGACTCAAATGGAGACATCATGGAGGAAATAATGGATGAGAAGGGGTTGTTGTGTTTAAATGATGGGTCAGGGACAAGGATGAATTTGGTAAAGGGTACAGAATCTGCATCAACCTCACACCGGTCTCACAAGCATAAGTAAATGGAAGATTTTCAAAGGAGGAACTATCGGGAACGACCACTACCCAATGCTCACCTAATATGATTGATTATAGTGAGAATTGTAATGAAGAAGATGAAAAGGGAGTATCAAAAATCATAAGCATTAATAAGAACAAAGCAGAATACAGTTCGGACATTTGTGAAAAAACATAGTACAGACACAAAGAAACTCTAGCAAATAATATTCAAGCACCACGGGATGAAAGAGAATATCAGAATACATTTATTATGATGTTCACAATGTCAGAAGTAAATAAAGTGCTGAGGAAAGCCAGAAAAACATCTCTGTGAAAAGATCAAGTAAACTACTGTATGTTAAATGACCTCAGCAAAGGAAGTGAAGAAGTATTATTTAAACTATATATTAAGGTGTGGGAAGAGGGATCCTTTCTGGTCCAGTGGAAAGAATCAATAATTGTTCCAGTGTGTAATGTGAAGTTAATGAACAGGCATGACTCAGGCAGATGTGACAATTGTAATCAGCGGGAATCAATGCAGCATATATTTTTAGTCTGTCCACAGACATCGACAGAGACAGACACTTAAAAACTCACTCAAAAGAATCAGTTTAACGTTAAGTCTCAGAAATCCTACAGAGGGACTCAGGTGATGCAGGATTTAGGGAGATGTTCGTGTTTCTAAAAAACACAKGACTCTAKAAAAGAATTTAGGTAAATATCCATTCTGACTTACACTCCTTTACAGACGGTGGCGGTAATGCACCAATAATCTGTTTGTCAGCCGCCATTCAACATCAGAAGAAGAAGAAGAAGAAGAAGAAGAANTTAAACAAAACAAACTGGCCTATGAATCAAAGCTGCAGAGAAAATAACCAAAAACTCAGTTTCTGCCTCTGATGTAGACGAACAAACTGTAACAAAAAAAACAAGAAGAAGAAGAAGAAGAAGAAGAAGAAGAAGAAATAGAAGAAGAATTGCTCTGTTTTAAAATTCAGAGAGAGAGATTTTATTTGTTAGGAGGCATTTGTGGACATTTAGTAGCTAGTAGGCCGTTTTCATTTCTTTGTTATCAGTGAATCCACAATGATGAACTATAGTGACTACGACTCTGACGGATATTCGTCTGATGAGGACGCAGACTACGTTCCTTCAGGTGAGGACTGGCGCTTTGTAAAACTCTGGTTAGTTGCCACAGGAAAATCACCCGAGGATTGTGCTGTCGGTCAGTGTTGAGCTGATAGACGATGACCTAAGATCGTCCCACGCACATATGAAACCAAAGTGACAAGTATCTCTTCATTAAATGCTCGTACGTTAAGAGGATGTGCTGAAATCTTGATGGAGATTGGATTTCAAAGTCTCTAATGTCGAGGGTTAAGACTTCAGACTCACTTAAATACAATAATCGAGTCTACCGGTAATTTCGGGTTTGAATTAAATTGCAATAATTCAATTTAAATGTGCCCTCATTGTTAGTGGCAGACCTTCTCTTAACTGAAGTGAACAAAGTAAAATATCAGGGTCTCATTTGGAACGATTTATTTGATGGTGTTGATAGAACTTCCTTAAACCTACTGTACTGTAGACTTCACACAGCGCACTTGGCAGTAATAGTCATCCAAAAGTGAAAAAGCTTCAGGTGGCTCATGATATGGACAAATACAAGTCGCATATGTCTGGCTATAAAAATACAACCCACCTTTCATAATCATTGTCATGCATAATGTTATTTTTACGTTAACTGACTCAAAAATGTGATTATATGGCCCTGAGTTTATGGGATGTTATCCACAGTTCACCTGCCACAAAACATGAGAAGTGCAAAGCCAGAAAATCCATATTAAAGTGACTGGAACGATCCAGATTAATAGTCTGAATAACAAAATAAATGTGATTGTCTGTTTGTATGTGAAGAGCAACCTAAATGAAAGAGTTTTGGACACCATTGCAGCTTAAGGAGTTAAAACATTGGATGATCTTAAAGCTTTAGTGCTAATATAAGAGTTTGAGAACTGTCCGTCTGAGAGAGTTCCTACTTACCTGGACTTGCAAAAAGCTGTATAGCGCTGCGAAACTTGCAGATGAATATGTTCTTACACATAATACTGTTTTTGACTTTGAGAGGTCTGTTGTATTGCCTCGATTCAATGATAATCATTCAGAGGAAAGCACAGGTTCTTCTGTTTTTGCTCCATTTCTGATGGATGGTTTTGTGTCTTTAATCAAGGTTAGTGACAAAGTGCCATTAAATGGGAGTCCACCCGAAAATGAAAATTCAGTCATTATCTTCTCACCCCTATGCTGATGGAGGGGTGAGTGAAGTGTTCTTAAAACACTTAAGAAGTTTCAGGGTTACACAGCAGTGTATAAAACAATACAACATGCCTCCATACTGCTCGTGTGGTGTCATCTAAAGCCTAGTTTATGCTTCTGCGTTGCGTCGACGCCGTACCTACGCCGTAGCTACGCCGTAGCTACGCCGTCGACGCGGACCCCTACGCCGTAGCCTGACGCGCGCCTCCAAAAAATCCTAACTACGCGTCGCGTCGACGCGGACCGCAAGCGCTGTGATTGGTCCGCTCAAAACGTAAGTTCCGGCAGTTCCGCAAACATCTTTTCTGTCGCCTGCACTTCAACATTTGCAATATAAGCATTTGTTCTTCAATATTGATGAGCTCCAACTCCAAATACAGCTGCTCCACCTCGGTCGCCATTGTTTACTGTTGTTTACTTTAGGGAAGAATTCGGTATAACCACACAAAGTGTGCGCAGGCCCTAACATTCATATTTGACTTGAAAGAGCGTCATTTGCACCATGTTTTACACCATGGCAGCGGATCTGAATCGTCCCTTCTGGACCTGCAGTCTTACCGCTTGGAAATTACAGTACAGTATAATTTGAATTTAGATCAAGTTTAGTGGAGTCACTTATTTTAGGTAATTCAACAGAATCCAGGAATTTCTCAATAGCTTCATCAGATGAATTCAAGCTAGAAGTGTATAACTTTGTATATATCTCTCTAAAGTAGTCATTTATATCACAAGGATTAGTTAAAGTTTCAGGAATGGAAGACATAAGTTTAAGAATGCCTGGCCAACAATTTACCTGGCTTATCATTCAGTTCAAATTGCTTAAATATTTGCTTATAAACCTGAGCACTAATTCATGGGCTGAGAGGAATAGTATGCCTTCTCTGCGTTTACGCCTTACCCTTTATGAAGAATAAAGGTGATAGGGATCTAGGTAACAATTATAGTCACTCCCTATAATTAAGGTAGTAGAATTCAGATCAGGTAATAACAACCAATGACTCTGTGATCCGCTGAGCACAAGGTGATGTAGATGGTAGGAAGTTACCCAGCGTAGTTTGCTTTGGCTCAACGTGTTTCGGCGGCTGCCTCTATCGCGGAGTGGTGTCTTGATAGATGAGTTCATAAATTGGTGGTGTTCCCACTGTATCTCACGGCAGCGAAACAAAGCTTGCCAACGGCATTTTCTTTCTCCAACTCCGTTTTTACTCCCTGTTTTAAATTGGAAGCTGAAGTGCTTCCAAACATCGGCTTTGAATTGCGGCGGCGTTATTATTTTGTCAGCAATGTTTGCCTCTATCTGCCACTGCTGAAAATGCCACGACAACACACAGCTCTTCTGCGCCATCTATCGAACTGGAGGCGTGGAAGTTGTATTTCATTTTAGCTGACGGGACGATATTTGTTTGAACAGACTTTTGAAGTAGGATGATCAACACTGCTGTTTTATTTTTGTTATATATAGACTGATGAGAGGAGTCTTCCAGGCCTTAATTTTATTTTTAATACGGTAATGTATGGATATGCAGTTGTTGTTGTTTTAATTTTTATGGTTATAAGACCCTGGCACAGTCTTGGACATAACTTGGGTTGCACAGTAATTACATGAATGTCATGGTTTCATTTATCTTCTATTTGGGCTAATGGGTGGGAATTCTCCAGGCCCTATTTCATATGCAGCAGGTTATTTTTGAAGTGATTTTTATTTAGAATCCTGATCCATATTATTGGTTCATGTGCTGCTGCTAGTTGTTTTGTGACAGGATGTGCTTTTTGAATTTCCTTTACATATCAGGGGTACGGCGGGAGCCTGAGTAGTAGGCTCTAGAGTTTATCCACACAACCACTAAATGTGCGGATTTGTTTCTGAAGGGTTCGGTGTGCACCTGTTCCTGTAGGTGCTAAGGGGGGTGGGATGGGTGTGGGGTTATGGGGAGGGTGTACCAGACTTTTCTTTATTGCATTTAACTTGCCAGACGTCTGTTTTATGGCCCATCTGCTGTCATGTTGGGCTTCCTGTAGGGCTCAGATATTCAGCTTTTTCCCCTTATTATGACTGATATCAATATTCTCAGAGGATCAGATGGTAGCATGGTTAACTTCGTGAGCTGGAATGTCAAGTCACTTAATCATCCTTTAAAGCGAAAAAAAAGTATTCACACATCTGAAGCAGCTTAATATAAATATTGCATTTCTTCAGGAGACACATCTACGGACAGTGGACCATTCTCGATTGAGAGGGGAGTGGTCAGGGCGGATATTTCACTTTAATTACCATTCGAAAGCTAGGGGGACAGCTATATTAATTGATAGAAATACACCGTTTACAAGCATAGAGGCTGATCCCGCTGGGCGCTATATTATTGTTGTAGGACAAATTTATACATTTCCAGTCATCTTGGCAAATGTTTAAGCACCAAATTGGGACGATTCAATGTTCTTCACCAATTTCTTCTCCCGCTTACCAAATATGACATCGCATTACCTTATCCTTGGCGGTGACATGAACTGTACGCTCTCCCCTATGTTAGATCGTAGTTCACCCAGATCATCGTCCCTGTCTAGGTCGGCACGCTCTATCCAGCTTTTCCTTGACTCATATGGAGTAGTGGATGTGTGGCGTTTTCGTAACCCTGCTTCCAGGAGTTACTCATTTTTCTCCTCGGTTCATAACACGTACTCCTGTATAGACTTTTTTTTTTGGACGAAAGATTACTTCCCCTCATAATCACATGTAAATATGGACCCATAGTTATCTCAGATCACTGCCCTTTGACTATGACTGTGAGCATCCCAGATACACAATCCATTTATCGCCCTTGGAGACTCAACCCTCTGCYTCTGTCAKATGACGCTTTWAAAAGTTTATTGGCATTGGAATTTCCTTGGTTTTAAATATTAATCAAACACCTGGAATGTCTTATCTAACTATTTGGAAGTCATTGAAGGCATATTTACCAGGTCAGGTTATCTCGTTTTGTGCTAATCAGAGAAAAGTGAACACTGCTCGACTTAAAGAATTGGCGGAAGAGATTCTTGAGCTAGATAGGTTACATAGCCATCTTCCTTCTGCAGACTCTATGAAAAAGCGTATGTCACTGCAGACAGAGTTTGATCTTTTATCAACAAGACAGGCTGAGTAGCCTATCTCCAAATCACGACATGGGTCTTATGAGCACGGGGAAAGGGCTGGACGGATTCTCGCTCACCAGTTGAGACAGAGAACTGCTAATCAGACCATCCCTGAAATAAATGATGAGCAGGGCTCAAAATGTACAGCTAGTCTTAAAATTAACTCCTGTTTTCAAACTTTTTATATGTCATTATAAGGTTCCGACTCATCTGTAGACCGCTCTGTATTGGAAGACTTTTTTAAGACCCTGCACGTTCCGTCCTTAGATCCAGGGGAGGCCGCAGGGCTGGAGGAGGACCTCTCGGTCGGGGAGATAGCATCAGCGATTGGCTTAATGCAAAGTGGCAAATCCCCAGGACCGGATGGTTATGCAACAGATTTTTATAAAAAGTTTTTAAGACAGCTCTCCCCTTTGTTAGTGTTGGTTTTCAAGGAGTCACTCTCATTGAAAGCCCTACCATCTACTATGCGTGAAGCAGTTATCTCCTTACTCCTTAAGAAGGACAAGAACCCCCTTGAGTGCAGCTCGTACCGTCCAATTTCTTTACTAAATACAGATGTTAAAATCCTTGCTAAAATTTTGGCGCGTCGCTTGGAGGGGGTTCTCCCATCCATCATTTCATCAGACCAAACAGGTTTTATTAGAAATCGTTACTCCTTTTTTAATATCAAACGTCTTTTCAATATCCTCTATAGCCCTTCTCCACCTGGTACCCCAGAATTAGTGCTCTCACTCGACGCTGAAAAGGCATTTGACCGGGTGGAGTGGGGCTATCTTTTCAGCGCGCTGGAGAGATTTGGATTTGGTCCCAGATTCATATCATGGGTTAAACCTTTATATACATCTCTGAGGACGGCTGTACGTACTAATAATAATCTGTCCACCTATTTTGAGCTCCAGCGTGGTACAAGGCAGGGATGTCCTTTGTCACCACTGCTATTTGCTGTTGCGATGGAACCACTTACCTTGGCGCTAAGACAGAATGCTGATATCAGGGGGATCCAGCGTGCAGGGATAGAGCATAAAGTTTCACTTTATGCAGATGATATGCTATTGTTCATTTCACAGCCCCTTCTGAGTCTCCCTAAATTAATGGTCCTACTTGAAGATTTTGGCAAAATATCGGGCTACAAGGTCAATACTCAGAAGAGTGAATTGATGCCTGTTGGTGAGGGGATAGACCAGGTACTCCCAGACTCATTTCCTTTTAAAATTAGTCCAAAGAAATTCAAGTATCTTGGGGTGTGGGTTACGCACAGTCATAAAGATTTATATTTAGCTAACTATCAGCCTCTGTAATCTAATCTGAAGCATGACATTGAACGGTGGGACCCCCTGCCTCTCTTCCTGGGGGGCAGAATCAATACTATAAAGATGAGTGTGCTGCCTAAATTTTTATATGTTTTCCAGTGTCTCCCGGTGTTTCTTACAAAATCCTTTTTTTTTAAAAAACTAAATAATCAGATATCAGCCTTTATTTGGAACAATAAGCTTCCATGGATCAAAAGATGTATACTACAGAGACCTCGTGCGAAGGGAGGGATGGCACTCCCAAACTTCATGTACTACTACTGGGCGGCTAACATAAGATCGCTGCTGTACTGGATGAGGGATAGTGCTACAGCCCCCGGATGGACAATTATGGAGGGGGCATCCATTGGGTCCACCTCCCTGGCAGCCCTACTGTGCGCTAAATTACCATTCACACAACCTCTGTCTAGCTTTACCTCTAATCCTGTTGTACACTCAATCAAAATTTGGAATCAGTTTAGAAGATATTTCTCTCTTACGGACCTGTCACTTACTGGGCCAATTGCAAATAATCACCTGTTTATCCCATCATTGATGGATAAGACATTCGATATTTGGTCTAGAAAGGGGGCTGTCTTATTGTCTGATCTTTATATTGATGGTGTTTTTGTCTCTTTCAAGCAGCTAATACAGAAATATGATATCCCCAGGTCACATTTTTATAAATATTTGCAGCTTATGAACTTTGTAGCCTCAAATTCAGATATTTTCCCATTGTGCCCCTCAAATTCTTTGTTGGACTCAATATTTAAATGTAAACTGGCCAGAAAGCAGACAATAAGTGTTATCTTTGATTTACTTAGCATGCATAATTTGACACCTTTAAATCTCCTTAAGAGTAAATGGGAAACAGACTTAGGCAAATCAATTTCAGATGATAATTGGCACAAAGTAATCCAAAGAATTTTCTCCTCCTCCATATGTCTCAGACATGCAGTTGTCCAATTTAAAATTGTTCACCGTCTGCATTGGTCTAAAGCGAAACTCTCTAAGATTAATTCCGATATAGATCCCACATGTGATCGATGCAGACAGGCTCCAGCTACTCTGTTGCACATGTTTTGGACATGCCCGAAGCTGTACACATTTTGGCAATCTATATTTGAGACTTTTTCTAAGATACTAGGAATTGTAGTGAGACCTCCTCTCCTCTTGTTGCACTGTTTGGGGTGACCCCGGAGGATTCCCCTTATATTTGGTGTGAAATCAGCATGATGACCTTCTGCACTCTCCTAGCCAGGAGATTAATATTGTTTAAATGGAAAGATCCTATTGCACAGATATATAGTCACTGGATCAGAGAAGTCATGTGCCATCTTAAATTAGAAAAGATTAGATATACTGTCAGGGGAGCGACTAAGAAATTTTACATAATTTGGCAACCTTTTTTGACCTTTGTTGAAGATATGGATGCTGACAGCATTGCTATGTAACTATTGCCTGTAATTKTATTTCTCTTGCTCTTTTTCTTTTATGGTGGTCTGGCTGTGTAATGTGTAATATGTATGTTCTTTGTCTGGTACTGGGTGGGGGTGTTGGAGGGGGATGTTGTATTTGTTCCTTTCGTGTTATTATGTCTGTTTGTATGTTATTTTTTGTCTGTTAAGCCCCTCTGGGGTACTATCTACTATTTGAAAATTCTAATAAAAAAACCTTGATCAAAAAAAAAAAAAAATCTATATTAGGAGCTGACAAATCCATTATATCGGGAGACAAAGTATTGCAATATATTGCCGCATTGATTTTTTTCACACCCCTAGAAAATAGCGACCTCCCCTCCAGAAAGATGTGCACCCTAGCACTGTCACAATACAAGGGTGCTCTACCAACTCCCTGTCCTGGTTGCGGCGTATTGTTGCAATAATTGTCTGTGGTCGTTCTACCTCTGATGTTGGTTGAGGTTCCTCCTTTCCACAAAGAAGCAGATACCGGTCCAGCTGCTGGATCCATCTACAGCCCTGTCAAGCTCTCCTTGTATCTCCTCTGTCCTCTTGAGTCTGTGCTGGGAGACACTGCAAACCTTCTTGCAACTGTACATATAGATGTGCCATCCTGGAGGAGCTGGACTACCTTTGTGAATAGTAGAAAGGACACTAGCAGAACATAAACTAAAAAAGAATCAGTCAGGAAGGATAAGGAGAGAACAATTATTTGTGGCCACCACATGCAAAACCATTCCCTTTTGAGGGGCTGTCTTGCTTTTGCCTCTTTGCACCTTTTGTCACTTTTATTTGCAGCAAAGCAAGTGAAATTGATTCACAATTACTTTGATTGATATCCCTAAAGTTTAACAGACTTGGTCCTATACTGTAAAAATTATATACACAATATGATAATTTTATATATATATACAACAATTATACAGTATATGCGTGTTCCTTTACTTTTTTTGAGCAGTATGCATATACACACACACACACACACACACACACACACACACACACACACCATCTTATTGATCTTCAATATCTCTGACTCGTCATTCGTCTTTCTCCTTAGATAATAATCTCAGCGAGGATGACATTAATGAGTGTTTAAAGGAAGACCCTCTGAACGCAGATGATGATGTACCACATCCTGATGATGTCAGCAAAACAAAAAGGAAGACGAAGGCCATCAGCATGAGGTGAATGTGATTTCATTAACTCTTCCTTAATGTGTTTAATAATTGATTAGCGTAAAGTAAGATAAATCTTTGGCTTTTCTTATTAAAAGGAGCTGGTACCAATTAAAACGACTTACATTCAGTGATATACTTGAAATAAACAATTTACAGAAAAAGGAAGAAAGGAGTACTAAAATTTGAGAATGAAGGAAGGGATGGCGGTGGAGCACAAGTGGCCAATCCAGCCCAGGAAGAGATGATCAAACCCAGAGGGGTAGAGGATGATGATGAAGAGAGACTGAAGAAAAAATCAGATGACCTCTGGGTGAGCTTCCTGTCTGATGTTGGATCCAGGCCCAAACAATCCACAGATAATGCTGAGTCAAGTACCACACAGAAGGTAAAGATACCTGATGTATATTCTAAACCCAAATGTATGACTAAAGCTGCTTCCAGACATGCACTGAACTCCAGAGATCCTCCACATTTTCTCAGGAGGAAGTGAATGCAAATGTCCAAGTGAGAGCCCTCCTACTATAAAGTAGGGCTGTCAAAATTGCTCCAAAATGACATTAGAATATTCGCTCTAAAAAAAACACATATATTCGAACCATTCGAATATATGCGCATGCGCAATGCGCATTATGTCACAGTCGGACAAACTAATACAACGAGACATAACTACTTGTATACTTGTATATTTTTTTCTCAGTTTTAACATAAAACATACCTACACATTACAAAATAAGTAAAACTTAGACCGCAAAACTTAGACCGTAAAAAAAGACCCCCCCCCCCCCCCCCCTCTCTCTCTCTCTATGCGCGATGCGCATTCTGATTTAAATAAACAGTTTGTTAATAACGGTCAGTAATAACCATAGACTGTAAAGGTAATAACTGGTCTCTGTGGCTGATGTGAGCTTAAGGTAGTGGGAGTGTATGCTGCGAGTTTAGGGGGCACGTCAGCCAGAGCTGTGTGTGTGTATGTGAGTGTGTATATGAGTGATTGAGTGAGTGAGACTGCTGCCTGCTGAGCAGAGGGTCGCAGGAAGAAGGATCTGAAGTGCCCGTGTTTCGGCTACAAAACTCTGCCGAACCGATCCAAAACAAGCCCAAATTTCTATCCACCCGCCTGGAAACCCTGGTCGCGTCTCAATTTCAGCAGTGAGTCACGCTGTGCAAGTGCAACTCCTGCGGCCTGACCTGTCATGCAGTGTGCCCACTCGCAAAGCAGCCACTGATGTGTTTTTTTCCAAAGTCGAATATTAATTTTCACAATCGAATATTCGTTTTTAAAAATATTCGAATATGTATTCGAATTTAGAATATTCGTTGACAGCCCTACTATAAAGTATGCAGAAAATCTGCAGAGGGTCTATGTGAGATCATAGCAAGGGACCCCACTATGTTCATGACATTTCCAACACGGATGCAAAAATGAAAAAAAAGAATAATATAGTCGCAATCAGCAATGAACAAGTTCGAGTCTTTATTTGGTCTATGGGAGGAAGCAGCTCGATCAGCCATATTTCAAGTAAAAAGAGGCAATAACCAGGCTTCAGGCTTTGAGCAAAGTCACTTCAGTCCGTTTACTTAAGTGAGAACAGTCACTCATGTCATCGTTTCAGTGCAAGTAGCATTGTGATAAGTGAGCAATCAGAATTACACCATTCGTCCAGCCTGCATCAGATCTTTTTTTTTGATTTTGCCCCCAGACCACTGGTACAAAATTTGGTAAAATGCTGTCCAGCGGATACTGCATTGCACATTTTTGGTACTTGGCTGAGAGAAGGTGGAAAAAGGACAAACTCTGAGTGTCATATGAAAACTTACAGCACCCTCTACATCTGATATAAGAGAGCTGTAAACGCTGCAAAAACTGAGTTTATTTATAACTTCATTCTTCAAGGGTTTATTGTCATATGCACAACAATTACATTTAGCAGTCGCTGGCAATGGAATGCTTGAGTCCCAGGCTCCCCTCTAGCTATGCTCAGAAAATTACACAAGGAATAAAATAAAATCTAAATCAAATAGAATATATAAAATAACAATAAACCTAAAGTATTAAAATTAAATATAATAAACATACAAATATTATAAGCTGCAGAGAAGATGGCAGGTAGGAGGAGTTTAAAAGTCTTATGGCCTGAGGATGGAACTGTCTCTGAGCCTGGCGGTGTGGGTCCGGATGCTGCAGCACCATTGGCCAGATGGCAGCAGGCAGAACAGTTTATGGTTTGGGTGATTGGGGTCTTTAATGATCCGGTTGCTCTTCTTCCTACACCGCTGAGTGTAGAGGTCCTCCATGTATGGCAGCTCCGTCCTGGTAATGCACTGAGAAGACTTCACCGCCCTCTGTAGAGCCTTGCGGTTCAGGGTGGTGCAGCTACCATACCAGGCGTTGATGCAGCGAGTCAGGATACTCTCAATGTTGCACCTGTAAAAGTTACCGAGAATCCTGGGATCTATGTTGAGCCTCCGCATCCTGCGGAGGAAGAAGAGCTGTTGTCTGGCTGTCTTTGTGATGGAGTCTGTGTGGTGAGTCCAGATCAGGTCATCACTGAGAACCCTGAGGAACCTGAAGCTGTTGACTCGCTCCTTCATAGTCCCGTTGATTGAGAGGGGGGCGTGTTCTACTCCTTTTCTGTTCCTGTAGTCCATGATCAGCGCCTTTGTTTTGCTGACATTGAGATGGAGGTTGTTGTCCTGGCACCAAGATATCAGGGTTCTGACCTCCTCTCTGTAGGCCATCTTATCGTCACTGAATGCTCTACCTCCTGTTCTACTCTTACAGACTCTTGGAACCACAAGAGAGCCTGTGTTTTGGGAACGAAGTGATCTATTTGGATAATAAGTTTTTATGAGCTCTTTGATATACAGTACGAAGGGGCTTGATTGCTAAGGGCTTTATATGTGAGGAGCAGGATCTTGAATTCTATTCTGAATTGTACAGGGAGCCAATGTAAAGAAGCTAGGACAGAAGTAATACATAATCTCTTTTTCTAGTTCCTGTCAGCACTCGTGCTGCAGCATTTTGGACTAACTGGAGGCTTTTCACAGACTTCCTGGGGCATCCTGATAATAAAGAGTTACAGTAATCTAGTCTAGAGGTAACAAATGCATGGACTAGTTTCTCAGCATCCTTCTAAGACAGGATGTTTCTAATTTTCAGAATATTGCGCAGGTGGAAGAAAGCTGTCCTAGAGACTTGTTTTATGTGTTTGTTAAATGACATGTCCTGGTCAAACATAACTCCAAGGTTTCTCACAGTGGAGCTGGAGGCCAAACTGTCACCATCCAAGGTAACTATCTGTTCAGACAGTGATTCTCTGAGATGTTTAGGGCCAATTACAACGACCTCAGTTTTGTCTGAATTTAGAAGTAAGACGTTTTGGGTCATCCAGGCCGATAATCAATAAATCAATTAATCGCACGATAAATTAAAATGAACTCGATCATTTTGCCGGCCTCGATATATCGCCATGTGCATGCGTGTTTGTTTTCCTCGTCTCTCGCCTCCAAGCAGGCTGGATGACTGCAGAGGGTTCACTCTGTGCTCGGTCTCAGCACTTGGGGGCGTTGGTTGCGGAATGAACGGAGTGAACCCTCTTGTCAGTCATCCAGCCTCTTTGTCTCTGTGGGGGGAGGCGGGGCCGCTAGCATTAGCCACACATGCTACACGCACAGAGTGCAGCGAGTGAGCGTCGTGCGGAGCAACGCGAGGAGAATAGATGATTGCAGAGTCAAATGCCACAGCCCCGGTGTGGGAAGGTTTCGGCTCCAAGCCGAATGAGCAAGGTGAGCCCATCAACACGGACGAGCCAGTTCAAAAGTGGTGGCAGCGAAAAAAGGCAACACAACAAAGTTGCATGCCCACCTAAAGCATCACCACCCGACCCAGTTGAACCAGCTGGGGAAACAAAGTGCAGCTCGAGATGCAGAGCCTTCGTCCCGACAGTCAACACTCACTGAGGCGTTCGGTCGACAAAGTAAATATAAACGGACCAGCGCAAAATGGTGTGCGCTCATTGAAAGTGAAGTTCGCTACATCGCTAAAGGTAAAAAACACTGAGAAATAAAAGTTTATTGTCTTTGAAAGGGTGTGCATTGTTATTATATATTATCATGTTGACAATAATATCGTTTATCGGCAATAAGTGGTGTGACAATATATCGTCCAGCAAAATTTGTTATCGTCCCAGGCCTAATTAGTGACATTCAATAGTGCTGTTTCTGTGCTGAGATGGATTCTAAATCCTGATTGGAAGTTTTCCAACAACTTGGGAGGAGGTGGTGGATTTTATCCCTGATGATTATAATTTTATTTGTAAAGAAGTTCATGAAATCATTGCTTCTTAGGCTTAGAGGGATAGATGGGACAGTAGAGGTGTGACTTTCTGTCAGCCTGGCTACAGTGCTAAAGAGGAACCTGGGGTTGTAGAATAAGAGGTTCTGGCATTTCTAAGTGCTTTCTTGTAATTTATCAGGCTATCCTTCCAGGCTAGGTGAAAGTCATATTGACTGGTGGAACTTCCTTTCTAGCTTCTAGCTTTTAAAAAACGTGTTTGAGAATTATACCATGGAGCTGATCTCCTCTGATTTATCTTTTTCTTTTTTAGAGGGGCGACAGCATCAAGGGTTGTTTTTAATGAGGCTGCTGTACTATTAACAAAGTTGTCAACTAGTTTGGCAGTAAAGTTTTGCTTTCATGTATTGTACTGAAACATGCCTGAGAGGTTAATCCAGAAGGAAGCAGTTCTTTAAATTTTTTCACAGTTTTATCAGATAAACACCGACTATAATAGAACCTCTGTCCAGAATCTGTGTAATTAATAATTCTAAATTCAAATGTAATGAAAAAGTGGTCAGACAGAAGAGGGTTCTGTATTATTAAATGTTCAATGTCTATGCCATATGTCAGAACAAGATCAAGAGTGTGATTTAAACAGTGAGTTTATTCACATGTTGAATGAAACCAATCAAGTCTATTGTTGAGTTGAATACTGAACTAAGGCTGTCGTTGGCAACATATACATGAATGTTGAAATCACCTACTATAATGATTTTATCAGTCCTAAGAACTAGTTCTGATAGAAATTCAGAGTAAGGGGCAGGTGGGAGATATATGATAACTAGATGAATTGGTTTATGTGATTTCAGGCTTGGATGGATGAGGCTGATTATAAGATTTTCAAAGGAGTTATAAATTGGAGTGAACCCTGCGAGCTACTTCAGGCAGCCAACTCGAGCTGCGCTGCTCCACTCAATTGACATACCTCATTCTCTCAGAGAGAGAAATTTCCCATCAACCCCTTTGTTCGCACTGCTGCTGCTGCTGCTGCAGTAGTATCGCTACCAGTTACCTCAGCCCCTCTTCCACCCCAGCATCCACCTGTAAGCCTGTAAGGGGGGGGGGGTTACAAGTATTTGCTAATCACTCCCAATATATCTGTGTAATAATATCAGGGGGGTGATTGAATCGGAGCCTAGACGCCAGTCGCTTCATTTAAACCTACATATTCTCCACATCTTGCTGCCAGGTTTCTGTTAATCATAATAGATCGATTTGATGATCGGTAATCAGAACATTAATAAGTAAAGATTTTGGATTGAGTGACCTGCTATTTAATAAACCACATTTTATACTWCTGTTTTTTGGTACTGATATATATACTTTTATTAGGTATTTCCCCTCTCCTGTTTACTTTTAATTTAATTAATTTAGGTGGTTGAGGGGCAGACACAGTTTCTATGGGATATTTGAGGTATATTGTGAGGGTGACTGTTCAAATAGAAGCGGAGAGAAGCGTGTAAGACTGTCTAATAACCACTGTAAACTCCCTCTGGGAATAATAAGGTTGGCATCTCATCATGAGGACCCCAAGGTCCTAAGAACAGCCCGAAGAAATAATCTCCACATCTGAGCACCACAGATTGTTCGCCATTAAACTTGGTCTCCAATAACTGTCATCGGCCTCAGTTTAAAAGATATACAAATTTTAACACTTACAAACCCCCGGAATTCTACTCGTAATCTACCTACATCAGTCCTCTGTGTCTCTTTTTTTTTTTATTCTTTGTTGAAAAATGTATCTTTTTAGATCTTCCCTCACTACACCCACTGACCCTATCCCTCCTATGTGCCCAGCTGTCCTTGATCAGTTTGAGCCCATATCAGTTAAGGACATCTTTGACGCTGTTGGACCATGTATTCTCTCATTGACAAATACCTGTCTTCTCTCCGGTTGTGTCCCAGCTGCCTTTAAACATGCTGATGTGCAGCTCTTCCAAAAAAGACCTGAAATACTGACTTCTATACTGAATTCTGACCACAATACACATTGCCACTGTTATGGTTCATCCCAGTTGCCTTCAAGTCCAAAGAAGTTGATGGTGCTTCGGGACAAGGTTAACATAAGGCTTCCTTTTGGTACACTACTTTTTTTTTTTACTGACATTTGTGGTATTGTAGTGCTCGCCAAAGTAATCCTGAGCCCATGAAGTTATATCGCTTGTGGAAAAATTATGGTTCTTGATGCAGTGTCATCTGAGGGATCTAAGAGTCATCTTAGGCTTGCACCCTTGCCCTTTACGCACTGAAATTCCCCCAGATTCCTTGAATCTTTTAATAATGTTATGCACTGTAGAGGATGAAATATCCAAATCCCGTCCTATATTTCTTTGATGAACACTGTTTTTAAACAATTAACTAATTTTCTCACACATTTGTTGGCAAACTGGCGAGCCTCGGCCCATCTTTGCTCCTAAAGGACTAGGTGCTTCATGGATGCTGCTTTTGTACCAAATCATTATTACAATCATCTGTTAACAGCACCTATTTCAAATCACTTAATTTTTCTTTCACCTAATTTTTCATTACTAGCCGTAAATTGCCCCCTTCCCAACTTTTTTTGGAATGTCTGGCAGGTCTGAATGGCAGGAATGGATGTATATTTACAAAAAAAATTAAGTTGACCAGACAAAACATAAAGTATCTTATGTTCATACTGTCTGCAATGAAATACAAGTCAAATTAAATTTAGAAATCTCTTTTTTATTCACATTTTTCATACTGTCCCAACTTTTCCTGAGTTGGGTTTGTAATTGTTGATTTAGAAGACCTGATGACTGCTTTTGACACTTGTTGATCACTCAATCCTGTTGTCACAGCATTTTCTAGGAATTAAAGGTGTAGCACCAAGGTGGTTTCAGTCCTACCTAACAGATAGGACCTGGGTGATTATTCCTCCGGAACAGCCCCACTTACAAGGTTCCGTTCAAGCCTCATCCTATTCTCCATATATATGCGCCTCTGGCATCAATGTTTGAGAAATATGATGTCTCTCACCACTGCTTTTTGGATGATGTACAAATATACTTGCCCTTAAATATTAAAATTAAGAGTTCACTGCAGCCACTTTTTGACTGCTAAAATGACATTAAATCATGGCTGAACTACAACTTCCTCAAACTAAATGAAAACAAAACTGAGGTTATTGTGTTTGGACACCCTGAACTGCTGGATGGAGGCACCCTTGGCACTCGCCCCTAATATTCACTCCTCTGTGAAGAGTCTGTGTTTATTTTGACGGTGTTTTTTAATTTGACATGAAGTTCCTCTGTTTTTTGATTTTTTTTCTATCAATCGGTATTTTGATGCATTTTGTGTTGCTGTTTTTCTTGTTGTACCTTTTACTTTGTAGAGCACTTTAGTCAGCCAAGTTGTTTTATATGTGCTATTTAAATAAAATTGGCATTGACTTGTGGAAAATAAGATCCAAACATACAGCTCAACAATTGTAATTTGATGTACAGTGTTCCCAGTGTCAATTGGATTATTGTTCTGTTTTTATCCTCAGGCAGACTACTCAGCATTGAAGACGTCTCTTTTGACTACAGAAACAACAGCATCAGAACCTGCCAAAGTCACCATCACTAAAGTTTTTGACTTTGCTGGAGAAGAAGTTAGGTATGCCTCTGAATCATCTTCACATATTGAGACAGTTTGATTTCCTGTAAACAGAGAGTATTATGACCAGGGAGAGCTCCATGGCACAGAGCTTGAGCACCCAAGCCAGTATGCCATTTGGCCCTAGTGCCAGGTTTGCACCTGTTGTGTAAAGGGGGATGTGCAGGCTTATGGAAGGCTTGTTTGGTGTTTATGTTTTTGAACTCCTGCAAAAAGTTTGTCCTTGTTTTTGAGTTTGGCTTTAGTTCATTCTTTATTTTTCTACAAATTATTTTAGGGGAGGCCCAGTCCTGGAGTTGAAATGCCTCCTGTTTCTCTTTTAGGCTGCGCTTGATGTGGGAGGCAATCTAGGGTTTGGAGTTTGGTTATTTCCCTCAACTTCTGGTTTGTATGGTGGTGGTAATGCAGAACTTGATGTAGTCAGTGATGACAAAACTCTTTCCTCCATATCACCTTGAAAAATGTGCCAGTCTGTGCCTGCCAGTGAGCCCTAAAGATGTGTAATGTGTCCTCTGACCATTGGGTGGCACAGTAGATCTGTGGCATGGTGCGTTTGAGTTCTGGGTTGTAGTGTTAAAGCTGGGAAAATAACATTGTGGTCAGCAAACCTGAGTGGAGGATATGCTGAAGGCATCAGTAATGTTTCCGTAACACACACTCAGAATGTTAGCTTTCTTTGTGGGAAAGTCCACATATTGGTGGAAAGACAGCAGAACACCCCAAAGTCTGCAGCTATAAAAGTCACCAACCATGTACACCAGGGCTTCAACGTATTTGGCCAGCATAGAGGTAACTACCTTGGCTACTATTTCCTAACTTGGTGTTAGCGTCCGTCGGGATGTAAACGCAGCTCATGACCACAGCAGGGAATTCCTTCAGGAGGTAGAAGAGGCATGAGGAAAGTGTCAGCATCTCCACATCAGGTGTACAGACTATGCAGTGAACTTGGATGTGATTACAGCACATGCTGTTGAAGTAGATGCAGGTTTCTGAAGGCCATATCCACCTGACACTTGGAATAGGTAAGCAATAAGTACATTTTATTCCAGAGGGAACGTACATTTGCCAGTATAATGGAAGGCAGGTTGGTCTGAATGGACGCTTCATCAGTCTGGTTGGTACTCATTTGTCTCTGACGAAGACAGATCGGTGATGTGGGAATACTTGCTGCTTTTGTGTTGCAGAGGACAGAAGATCGTAGTTTGAGAAGATAGTCATGGCTGTAAGTGAGTGGTCTGTAGCTGTGACCCTATGGTTGCAGCAGCACTGAGTTGTTATTGATGATATGCAGGACCATAAATGTGATTCATATTATTTTGCATAGGTCTAGCATTGTGGATGCTAAAAGTCGATGAGGGGGACACCAGAAAAACTACATAAAACAAAATTTAAGCAAGACAAGGAAACTGCAGAACATGCACTGAACCTGGCTACTGATCCCTGGATCTTCTTAGGAGCCAAACCCAAGGCCTAAGCTAGCCCTTCCCCATACTGAGTACACCGAAGGTCGGTCTATAATGCACAGGGGTAAGCATAGTAGTAGGCAGATTTGCAGCTCCAAAGATTCTCTGAAAATTTACCTGGAAGTAAAGACAGGTCTCAATTCCCAGATATTTTGACTATATTTCCCTTAAAATTGATCTCGTGCCTAACAATTCAATAACAGTAATCAATGTTGTCAGCCCTCCTTATACACATTTAAAGCTTTTAATAAATTTGGTGAATTATTTGCACTACTAATTAATCATGAGGTTGTTATTCTTGGTCATCTTAATTTAGACTGTCTTACCTCGGCACCAACCAATCTTAAACTATTCAAAAATCTACATTTTACAAAGCTTATTTCACATCCCACTTACCCCAACCTCAATTTGAATTTACTTGATTTTGTCAAACAGGCCAGAGAAATATTCTGCCAGTGGTGTTTTTGACTGTGGTATTTTGGGCACAACCCAAAACAGAGAACAAATTCACATATAGTGGTCAGGGGAAATGTGAAACTTTTAATGACCATGGGCCTTATTTATAAAACGTAGTATTCATACTAAATGTGTGCATGTGCACACAAAAGCCGAAAATGGCGTACACAAAAAAATATCAGATTTATAAAACTGTGCACATTCATCTGGACACAATGTTACCTTTATAAATCACAGTCCACCTGGAAACGTCCATACGTTGTACGTTCAACTGTGATATCACNCTCTCTCGTCTGACTCCAGAACTGCAGGAGACCAACTATTATTATCATAATTATTATAATAATTATATGAATTGTTGCTGCTATCTTATTGTTTTCATTTTAATTAGTCAGAGCTGATACGATGGTGCACAACTATTCCTGGTCTCTCTTTCCTCTCATTCCTCTCTCTCTCCTGTTCCTCTCTCGCTCCCATTTTTGTATCTCCTGTACGTATTTTAATCATCCAAAACTGCAGCACTAATAAATTCAGAGACAGCTTTGATGTCCCCAATATATAAAATTTAACATAATTATATTTATAAAATGATTTTGAAAAGAGGCTCTACATAGAAAGGTATTATTGGTAATATTGAAGTGTTAATCATACCACCTGTCGGCTATTGTGGTGACTATTCGTGTTTGTACTGGGATGGTTCGGTTCTGTCGGGTTGGTCTGTGTTATAGTGGACTCAGTTCAGCACAAAGATATATAGAATCTATAAGTCATTATCATGAGACAAAACATGTGTTCGCTGAACAGTCGTTTCTTCCTCATCCTTCCATTCATGTGCATCCATCACGCAGCATTTCGCACGAGTGTCACAGCAGTATTTATATATTGAGAGCAATCGGACCGATTACTTCACACATCAGTGGGATCCTAACCTCCACTCTGGGATATTATTTGTTAATAGAAGTTTGAAAGTGAATAGTTTCTTTATTTTTTGTGAATGATCTCCTGTGCGCCTGATGGCATAGTCACATTCACTGTAGCAATTTTACACGCACTTGTACTTGATGATACAGTATATATGCACAGTGTTAGAAGATATTATCAAAAACTATTACTCGGCTCTGCAACTCTGCTGTCTTATGGTATCTGAATGTAATTTGCTGTAAGTTCTTTTATATGATTTTCGATTGAAGGTTCTTATGGAATAGATGTCACACGAGCACAAATAATGCTGTTGTTTGTTTTCCCATCTCCAAAATGTTGGTACGCATGGGTCTGAGTTAGCATGGAAGTGTGCACATTCTATGGTCTATATTTTCATAAATCACTCCAGTAATCATGAAATGCCTGGAAAAACAAATTCTCCGCACTGTCCTGCCAGATGTCAGGCCACAGCTGGACCCCCATTAGTCCAACTACAGGTCCAAAGGAGAGACAGAGGACACTGTGGCATGCCTCCTCCACTCCCTCCTCCAACATCTGGAGTCTCTAGGCAGTTTCGCCACCAACAACTGCACCAGCCCCTCACCAGGCACCACAATACTGTGACACTGCCATTCCTGAACGTTTGCATGAGAATTGGCGTATGCAACCTTTAGGCCCCGTTTTGTGTGAGGCCCCAGGCCTTTTTGCATGACCTTTACTACAGGTCATGCAAATTGCTGAAACCCCTGATCGTGTATTTAAGCTATTTTGATACTGTTTTTAACTCAGTCTTAGACAAGCAGACACCTTTTAAAAAGACAAGACAATGTTTTAGCTCAACTCCCTGGCTCACTGCTGAGCTGTCACTGTTGAGGAACAAGGGCACTGTTGCTGTCAGAAAAGCAGAATCATGACTATTACTAAGTCTTTTAATAATTATGGGTGCCTCCCAAAGTCTTGGGATTCTAACAGTGTTTTTATTGCACAGATAGGACTTACTTTGTCTCTCTCTGAGCTGGGAGATAAAAGTATCCATAGCAATGACATACATACGCAGAGGAGAGGGCTCCTCTTCATATTTACTGATTTAGTCCAGTGGTTAAATCACTTGCCCAGTGATGCAATGTCAAGGGTTCAAGACATTGGGAGGACAGGAGCTTTTGTTTCACTTTTTATAATCTGTAAAGAGCCTATATCTGTAAAGAGGCC